ACCAACCAGCAAGCCAACCAACCAACCAGCCAACCAACCAGGCAACCAATTCTGGTGTCCCATTTTATCCCTCGCCGATCAATTCGCCGAAGGCCTCAAGGCGGGCGCCTGATCATCTCCTGCGACAAGGCACCGCTGAGAAAATGGTTGGCCGGACATGGGCGAAAACGGAAGACCCCAAAAGGCTTGGGTCTGGCAAGTGGCTGTGGTTGTCAAAACCAATGGGATCCCATTTTGGGGTAGGTGCACCACCCATTTAGTCAGGATTTTAGTGGGGATTGGGATGTTCACTGGGGGTACGGGATTTTGATGGCCAAGTGGCAACAGGAGATTCCTCTGCAAATTGGCAAAACGAGATTCCTCGATTCCTGTGCACTGGTTCTTGTGTTCCAGGTGAAAAGGAGTGGGAAGTAGTGGCTGATGAAAATCCACCCTTTGCTACTAGGTGTTGGTTATGACTGGTGGGTCTGCGTCAAAATGGGTTCCAAACGATTCCATGGAAGCTATCAGGACCCTTTGGGATAAAAACAACTTTCCGCTTGACATGGTTATACATGGTGGCTTTCTGGAGGGAGGGTGACCACAGCCCGCAGGAGGTGTTTAATGATATATGGGTTTGTCTCAAAATATAACGCCCAAATGGGTGGTTTCCTTTTGGTGTCCTTTTGAAACCATCCAACAAGGGGTACCCTCAAAAAACTGACCCCCCCCATTATCCTTGCCTCAATTAGTCCCCATGTTCAACCTCACGAATGTGGAGCAGGATTCCTTTGATTGATATGATCCGCTGGATGAATCTGATGTGGCGTTGCATTCTCCATACCCCCATGCACCACCCAGCACACAGGCTCTTGCCTCGTCTCGCTGTCACCCATTGCCTGCTTGCTGGGTCACCTGAACAACTGAGCTGGTATCACAGCAGCTTCTTACCAGCTTGCTCAGGTATCGACGCCTTGGATCTTCTTTCTGAAGGGGGAGTAGCGAAGACCAGTCGCGTAGCTAGCGTTTCGCCATGCGAATCGACATGGCAGCTCCAAGTACCCAAAAAGGTTTTGGAGCAGCATCATTCACATAGTGCCCCCTTTGTTTGGGGCATGGTGCTTCAAAAGAAGCTGAAAGGAATCAATGCCAATGGTTTGAGTCCCCCGCTTTTAGGACACCTTCGTGCCCCTTCGGACTTTCGGACTTTTGCTAGTGGTTCTAGCTGGATGGCGTGGGGTCAAGTTGTTGCACGGTGTGTTTGGTCTACTTGGAAAGTGCCTTCACAGATAATGACATGCACGAAACCGGCCCCCAGGAGGAGATTTAGCATATCAGGCCCGATGAAACCCCACTGCAAGCCTTACTCACTTACTGTTTCTTCCGGCCTGGGTGCCGCAAAAATTGGTCTGAGTCTCACTTTCACCAGTTTCACCGTTGCACGCGAGTTGACGCGACAAGTTATCCACAGCTTGCAGTTCGCCTGGGCGGCATCTTAAGGTTGCCAATGTATAGCGAAGTGTGGGACTTCCCCGGGCAGCAGAGGAGAAAGGCGGCAGGGCTTGGTACGTTGATGCCAATTGGGCTGGCACGGTCGTCCAACGCCGAGCGTTCTGTTGCTTGATTCGTTATGAAGGACCTCTTTGGTCCGTTGAGGCTGTGCGATTCAATGGCATCCTTGTGCTGGAGATAAGAGATCGTGAGATCACTTCCAGTGTTCCATTCTTTCTTTGTGGGTTCCCTGCTACACATTGTGACCATCCCAAGAACCAATCTGTTCATCTTGGCGCATGCTTGCTCTTTGTGATGTTAAGCGGCATGTTGCGGCCTAAAACGTGTAAATGTTCGGTCGGCTCAGCCAGCAAGACACATCATGTCTTTGCTTAGCCACTTAAGTGTTCCTGTGATGAGGGCAATTGCCACTGATTTGCGCTTGGACATTGTAACAAATTCCCGTACATGTGGTGCACCCAATCTTTTGCCCCGCAACGACGGCGGTTCAGTCGGCTGATTGTGGGTACGTAGAGCTGGGAAGCATCCCTGCTTTCCGACATGACTCGGCAAAGCGTTTTGACCTTTGCCTTTCACGACCCTGAGGCAGATCCTATAGCAATCCTTGATACAGAGGTCACTCCCGGTGTGTTTGGGTTCCATGTTCCAGTCGCCGTTTTTGTTGTCTTCAGCGCTGCCCTGAACCCAGCGCGGCCCACGGGTCCAGCGTGCCGTCTTCACTTTCCGACCGCGGAGTTCAGCTGAGCCGTTTGGTAGCACCCCTTTCCGAAGTGGATGGATTACCTCCCAGCGGAGGAGCATTGAACAACCATCCTTTGTAGAGGGATCTCCTTGTGGGCACCCGTCTTGGTGGGGTATGGCAAATGGCTCCTTTTTTGGTTGAAACCATTCAAGCGGATGTTTGTTTTGTGTCATGGTCAATTTAGACTTGCTTGCAGAACAACCAACCCTCACACTGGCAGATCTCCTTTCGGTGCCCTTTCAAACCAACCAGCAGGGAGTTAGCACGAACAAGAGACGCACCCAGCGCGTCCCATCTGGCTGTGGGATGGCGGATTGCTGCTGCCAGGCCTGAAGCGCCCGCATGCGGAAAGTCATTCGTATGAGATCGTATGAGTAAGCTGAGGTTGGCATATGAGGATATGGGTCTGTCTTGTTTGAGGGTAGCCCTGTTTTGGTGGGTTTTTGAGGGGAAACCAAAAGGAAACCCCCCAAAACACGACACCCTGTCCGGGTAGATTCTCGCTTTGGTGGTTGAAGCCATTAGGGTCCACAAGTGCCTATCTTCAGGGAATGGCGTCAGACGTGCCACATGTGTTTGCATGTGTGTGTGTGTGTGTTATGTGTTGCCGCTTGGACGGTCGCTTGGACAGTCGCTTTGGACATACTGAAACTCATTGAGCTGTGTTTCTCTGTACATGTTTGCGACAAAAGCTATGAACAAGCTGAATGGTGCGGAGACGGGCCTAATGGAACGGCCGCACCGAGCCAAAGTGCGCCTTCTGAACACTTTGGGGTCGACTCAAAAAAAATCGGTGTTTATCTTGGCTAAGCATCAAATGGTAAACCCTTTTGGACTTTCCCAGGGAGATCAAACACCTCGTTGCGTTTTTTTGGGCGACGTTCAATTTGGGCAGGGGCATCCAGGTCGGCTCTTACGCTCTGCCTGCGCTGCGTGCGATTGCTTTCTGTGTGTCGTGTCGGGCCGCGCCGCTGCAAGACACAGCCATCCTTGTGATGCGGTCACGGGAAAAGACAAGGGCGCCAACGGCAGGCTCAGGGCGTGATCTCCAACTATGGTTGCTTGCTTTTTGGAAACTTCCCCCTCCCCCGACTCCGCTTCCTTTACTATTTTTTCTGGAAAATGCTTGCTTCCCCTGTGGGTTGGGTTGCAAAATAATCTAACTTGCGGGGGGGTGAAAGATCAACCCACATAGCAACCTATGCAGAGGACTACTTCGGATTCGGAAGCCGCTCTTAGAGTCATGCGCTGCGTCGCGTAGCTCCCAGTTTGCCGTTTCTGAAGTCAGTCACTCAGTCTATCAGTCAGCCAGTTAGTCAGTTAGTTGCTTGCATACTTGCTCGCTCCTCCCCTCCCCTCCCCTCCCCTCCCCTCCCCTCCCTCCCCCTCCCTCCCCTCCCCTCCCCTCCCCTCCCTCCCTCCCCTCCCCTCCCCCCCTCCCTCCCCTCCCTCTCCCCTCCCCTCCCTCCCTCCCCCCTCCTCCCTCCCCTCCCTCCCTCCCTCCCTCCCCTCCCTCCCTCCCTCCCTCCCCTCCCTCCCTCCCTCCCTCCCTCCCTCCCCTCCCTCCCTCCCTCCCTCCCTCCCTCCCTTCTCCCTCTCACCCACACTCACTCCCTCCCTCCCACCCACCCCCACCCACCCACCCACCCACCCACCCACTCACTCACTCACTCACTCACTCACTCACTCAGACCGTCAGTCAACCAGGCGACATGGCGGAAGATCTGGAGGCTGGGTTCATTTTCGGAGTGTTGTGCTGGTGTCGATCTCTCGCTGCAGATGTGTAGAAAGTGTTGCCCCCAAAGGGGTTCCCTTCCAAAAGCTTTTTGGGGGCCCATGTTAAACGGCGTTTTCCTGGAAAAGGACGGAATATATGTGCAACTAAACTTAAACTGACTGACCGTGCTGACAGTGTGCTCCCTGTTGGCAATGCCAACCCAAGCATGGAGTCAGAGCTTCGTGTATTAGAAGTGATTTTTATACGTGAACTGGAGAGCCCTGTGCAGACATATGACGATGGTTGTAAGTAGTCTCGCCTGAATGCCCTTGGTCGGGCTGGGTGTGTTTGCTGGTGTGGCGTCGCTTCCCTTGGCACTCTTTGTAGTGTGTTGCTTTTGTGGTTGCAATCATGTAAGATACGGAGAACATGTTTTGTTCACGTACGGTGCGATGGCAAAACAAGGGGAGTCGTTGCGATCTCTATCCAAGCTCGAAGTGGCCGGACGGGCCCTTCCCTGGTGCTCACGGTTGATGTCGACTGAGAAGGAACCCTGCGCGGGAAACGATTCATGTGCATGAGGGTGCCCATCTTTCCAGGCAATGTTCTGGAAGGTTGTTTCTCCAGCCTTTTGCGCGGGTTGACTTTTTTGAATCCCAGATTCCCATGAATTCCAGGGTGTGTCCGGGTACCTTAGGTGCCCCCCTCCTTTTGGCTCTGGGACCGCATGGATAGGCGCTCTGGAGCCCAGACTCCCTCGGTGGCTGTGGGTCAAAACCATTTGGATCCCATTCTGGAGCAGGTGCACCATCCATTTTAGTCTAGTGGGCATTGGGATGTTCACCAGGGGTACAGGGTCTGAAAGAAGTGTTTTTGGATTTCCTTTGACTTCCCTACACCGCAACCCCGACATGTCTACTTCCCCTTGTGGTCGGGTCGAATGGAGGCAAATCCAGGGGACGCTTGGGCGCTGTCGACATCCCAAGCGTCCCTGGAATTCCGAAGGTAGACATCGACCGGTTCTTTGTGAAGCCACCGGAGAAGGCTGAGGCCTGGGGCCCATCCGTTTCTTTGGCGCATTTTGCCAAGGGATGTTAGGACTTTAGCTGTTTGCCAACTATCGGGTTTTCTATTAAACCACTAAACATGTGTGATTTTTTGCAAAATAAATTAAGGGGAGCAGAAAGCAACCGAGGTTTGATCAAAGCAACAAGCTTGAGTCGCCCAAGTAATGCAGTGTAGGGAGCAGAAAAAAAAGGAAGCCTGCACTTGACCAAGGCTTTGCACCTGTTGTACCCAGCTGAACTGAAACTAGATGAGCCCACACATCAAGGTCCGTGGCTATGAGGATCTTGTTTTCCTTTGGGATTCCTGGTATTTGGTGCATATGGCTCGCGTTCTAGACACGTGCAGCCAGATATTCAGATTGAAGCTCCAAGCATTAACAAACCAAGCCAAACCAAGCCGACCAAGCAAGCAAATGCACCAAGAAAGCAGGCAAATCATTCAGCAAGCAAGCAGACAAACAAACAAAGAATGAAGCAAGCAAGCAAGCAAGCAAGCAAACCAAGTCACCAAACAGACAAAAATGCCGACCGGCCAACTAACCAACCAACCAACCAACCAATTAACCAACCCGCCCACCCACCCACCCACCCACCAACCAACCAACCCACCAACCAACCAACCAACCAACCAACCAACCAACCAACCAGTCAACAAACCATGCATGGCATGCATCCATAGAATACAGAAACAAACAAAGAAACGAACAAACCAACAAACCAACAAAGAAACCACACACACACACAAACGGCAAACACACAATCAAGCTAACAAGCCAAGCAAGCTTGCTTGCCTGCTTGATTGCCGGCTTGCTTGCCTGGTTGGAAGGCTGGTTGATCGTGTGCATGTCTGTTTGTTTGCTAGCTTGTTTGTGTGTGTGCTTGGTTCTGGTTTTCCTGTTAGCTAGCAAGCCAACAATCAAACAAGCAAGTTTGGCTAGCCTTTCAGAAAGTGTTATTCGCCCAG